TTACTTTTGTAGAAATGAAAAAGAGGAGAGTGGGGTGTTGTTCTCTTCTATAATCCCCCCAACACACACACCAAAAAACCCGCTAAGGTATATATTTTGCATTTTAAGTCCATTTGGGTATGACTCAAAAAAGATAATTTCTTTTCATTTGTCTGGTTTTGTGTAAAGAAAACTGGGCTCAGAGGTTCTGATAGCATATAAATTAAAGATATGAAAGTATGTCATTGAAATTCTAAAGATGTGCTGATCCTCTCATCAAAAGAGTTCTCTTGTGGTGCTGGTGCTGACTTATTAATAAAAGATTATGCTTTTATTTGATTATTTATCTAATCAGGTTCACCTTCAGTTTAAGCTCATTAAGTCTGCTGTTAATAGTCTTGCTGAAAGTGTACTTGATTGTGGAATTAGATCCAAATGAGACAGAGAATATGCTCAAGCATTAATGGTCAGAAATAAAGACAGAGTGCCCTGTAAGTCCATGTTGCCCTCGAGTAGAGCGTGTGAACTGCCAACCAAATAGAAAGGGCACATATTTAAAAGGTTGGTTTTGTAGAGTAAAGGCTGACATAATTAAATACACTTAGTAACAGAGAAACGAAAATGACAAGCATTCTAATTGTCAAAAAAAAGAAACGAGTTCAATACCTATTCTTTATATGCATTATGTTGGGGAAGCTTTTCTAATAGTCTTTTATGTGAAACTTCTGAATTACATTCAGGATGTTGGTTACTCGATGTTCCCTGCCCTGACTCCCAGTAACTTGCATTTAATCTGTTTGCTTCCACTTCTAAAGTGGTTGTAAAATAAACCAGACTTATAATGCCTCTCTTGGGTCTTGCAGAACAGATAACTAAATCATTTTGTTCTTACCTGATAGATGGTTGTCAAGTTTAACTGCTACAGATAAGTTTTCTTCTTTAAGGTGGTCTTGCTCCACTTTTTGTTGGACTAAGGAACTTCTAGCTACCACAGTACCACATTGAAAGAGGGCCCATGAACACCAGAGCTGTACAGCTAACCAAGGCCAGTGTGTTCCCTTCTTGGAAATACTGCAGCTCAGACTTGGCACTGGAATGAGCTAAATTATTTATCCAGCCAGATAAGAGAGAAAGCAGCTAAGAGCTTCCTGAGTTTATAGCTTCAGTCACTGGATTCATACTGAGACAGGAAACAGGCCAGGCTCCATCAGAAAAGAGAAAAAAGAAGACTCCTCCCAAGTCCTCTTCCATCACTTCTTACGAAATGCCATGAGAGAGTATGTGATTAATTTCTCAGTAAGTTATACATTCAGTAAATGCCATGAGATTAGAGCAATTCTTAGTTTTGGTTTTGATATTGTCATAAACAATATAGCAAAGCACCAGTCAGTACTCCACAAGCGCAAACTCTTCTAGGACCTTCTCTACAGGAAAAAGCTGGTTTAGCATAAGGTCAGCACTTTAAAGTCTTTTTGACTGGTCATACAGATCACAGTCATCAGATAGGGTCTTCATGGAATGAGGTCCCCAATGAGAGAAATGTCTGCATGTATAGGGATGTTTCCTTCCAGGGAATTCACCTCTGTCTCAGAAGCAATCCTTCAGGTTAGGAAATATAGCCCTGACATTTAAGAACTTTGATTGTGGGACTTCTGAGGAGAGAACAAAAAGATTGCCTACAAACTTGTGTTTCTTATTGTAGTTAATTGGAAATTCTTACACAATTACTTTCCTCATGGAGGGCTGTTACAGTCTCTGGACTTCTGAGTCTAATTTGTATCTCCTTTAAAGTATCTGTCATGATCTCCTCTATTTACTTACATACATGGCTCTTTCATTCCATTAATTTCTTAATGACAAGAAACATGCCCTACTCTTTTTTCCAAACTCCTAATCACTTAACATATCACCTTGCATATATTAGGTGTCAGTGAATATATGTTGAATGGACTGCATCATCCAAAAGTGGAAGATGCACTAGGCATTTGGGTTTGGGGCCTTCCTTGGACCCCCAAACCTGAAATTCACCAAAGAATGGCACTTCCCTAATGGGGAAAAATTCATGCAACTTAAGAAAAGAGAGAAAGATAGGTCTGCAGTGATGAGGAATGGAAAGGACACATCCTTAGCTAGCTAGATCAGTGGAATCATTTCTAATGATCAACAAGAAGGCAGATGTCAGAGTCAAGTTATCCTCACATTTAAACCTGGAGTTCTTATTCTAAAGGGAGTGCTCATGGTGTCAACCAGCATTGGATGTTGTAGAATAAAAAAAGCCTGTGGTGGTATCAACCTCATGCATAAGAACAAACAGATAGAATACTATGAATGAAAATAACATTAAATTTGGCTATGAAGTACATAATAGACATTGTTATTGCTTAGAAATTATCTTAGAGGTAGCACCAGGCAAGAAAGAGAAAAATCAAAGGCCCATAAACCTGTGATACAAACCATAGCAGGAAGGAGGTGCTATCCACAATAAAGTTTCAGTTCTCAGTCATCTCATTTCTGTGTATCATTCTCTATAGGTGGAATTGGCTGCGTAGGTCAAGACAAGGGGCAGGTTCGAAAGTGCCTTGATGTGGTGGAGATCTATAACCCTGATGGGGACTTTTGGAGAGAGGGTCCACCTATGCCAAGTCCCCTGCTCTCTCTTCGAACCAATTCTACCAATGCAGGAGCAGTGGATGGGAAGCTATATGTCTGCGGGGGATTCCACGGAGCAGGTATTGATCAAATTTTAAATGTTTTGTAACCTCCTTTGGTTCGATTTAACCTCCATTAACTGACTCAGTCACCGAGGAATAATCCTGAGAGCAGTGTGAGCACTGGCAAAAGCGTGGATTTTAGATAGAGTTCAATGACCTTGAGCAACTCACCAAATCTTCGAACTTGAGTTTCCATATCTATTAAATGAAGCTACTATCTCCAAAGGTATTGTAAAAATGAAATGAGATATTTTTCAGATAACCTAAGAAATTTGAATAGGGACTGGAGTATTAGATGATATTTAAAAATTGTTCATTTTGTTAGCTTATAATATTGGCATTGTAATTTCATCTAAAAGAAGAGGGAAAAGGAAAAAAATGTTCTTAATAATTAAAGATTATTTAGAAGTATTTATGAATGAAAATGATGTACTCTCTGAAATTTACTTCAATCTACTCTAGCAAATATTTTTTAAAAAGCGAATGGGGTGGATGGGCTAAGAATAGATTTACAACGTTGGTAAAATGTTGATAATTATTAAAGCTGGATACATGGGGTTCCTCAGAGAACTTTCTAAAGAGGATTTTAAAAACTGTTTTAATACCTATTATATTAAACATCACATAATTATGTAAAGGTAGTAATTTTTCATAATAGCAAGAAAGCTGACATAGTAAAGAGATCTAGTAGTACCTCCTTGTTTAAGTTTCGTGGGCAAAGAGAGACACAAGGAGTCAAGAGTGAGATCTCAGGTGCTGGACCCGTCATCCACTAGGGCTCTCCTCCAGCTGTGATCACATGCTTTCCTATCTATCCTCTGGCTTTTGGCAGAGAAGAGAAGGGCAGAGAAAACAAAGAGTAGCCTCAGGACCTCCAGAAGGATGAGTGGTAATCAATGTTTAAGGTTCTAGAAAATATTCTGTTTTGTCTTGTCTCTTTATCTTAACTTTCTTTGTATAATATTGAGTTAGAGAATTGATATTCTCCAGTTTTTCAAACACATCTAAATTCATACTATGAGCCAACCTCTTTTCTTGAAACTGTAATGGACTAATAATGCTTTCATTCAGAGGAAAAGGGATTTACTATATGAGCTCTCAAAGTCCATTTTTTTTTAAAATATTAAAGGTATATTTAATTAAAAACTGAAGTCAGTCTGCAATGGTCCTATTATCAAAACCAGTTAATTTGACATTCATTTTTTAAACAAATTTATTTATTTAAATTAGTTTCAAGTATACAGTACATTAGTTAGACATCCACAATGTTCATAAAGCGATCCCCCCCAAAGTCCATTTTAATTATTTGTTTCTAAATTGGTAGATTGTCTGGTCTTAGCTGAATGAAATCACTGAATAAAAGTTTTATGAAAAATAAAGTTTTAGGAAAAATTGTATAGCAGCATATCCATTATTAACTAGAGATCTTGGCATCAAACCTAAATACAGGAAGTGGATTTTCTCTCTTTGTGTGACACAAATTGCTCATATCATTCATTTATTCAGAAAACCACAGTCAAGAAATTAATCTTGGGGCAAGATGGCAAAGTAGATAAATGCTGTTCCTGCCTCCTCCCATGACCACATTAAAATTACAACTAAGTTATAGAGTAATCAACTTGGAGAACCATCTGAAAACTAGCTGAACGGAAGTCTTATAACTAAGGATATAAAGAAGAAATCACATCAAAATTGGTAGGAGGGCTGAACACACAGAAGGGGCTAGCTTCACACTAACATGTGTCAGCTGAGAATCATGAAGGATATCTCAGCTGCAGAAGTCTGCCTGGAGGAGTGAGGAGTTCTAGCCCCACACTGAAGTCCCCAGCTTAGAGCATCAGTGTCAAGGTGAGGGTCCCCCACATTTGGCTGTGAAAATCCAACAGCATTCCATCCATCAGTGTGTGATAAAGGGCAGCTAGAAATCCAGACATCCTCTTAAGGGGCCTGTGTACAGATTCACTTGCTCACAGGCACTCACCTTGGGCTCTGGCGGAAGGACAGTGATTCGGGACTCACTAAAGACATAAAGGGAAAGACTGAGTTGTGTGTCTTAAGGGTGAGAACTGAAGGGACAACACTACTATCCTTGTGTTGAGCCCTCTTCCACGTGGCCTACAGGTGGGCACCATCTTTCCTGTGTTGATCCCTCCCCTCACACAGCCAAATCTGAATCTGCATTGACCTAGTGAATTCCACTAACTCCATCCTAGAAACTCCCTGGGACTCCACCCAACCCAACTTTTGCACTACCAGAAACAATGTGGGTGGTGAGCAACCAGCCCTGACCATGTAGCAGTCTTTCTTGGAAAACTCTTGACAATCTGTGGGCCTGAGGCAGATGGTGGTTGGCCTTGATGTGCTGTGGACATTTTTCTGAATGGCTCAGCACTGACATCAAACCTGAATCTGCATTAACCCAGTAAACACCACTCACCCTACCCCGGTGACTCCCTGGGACCCTGCCTTACCCAACTCACATACTGCCTAAAGCTCTTTCAGCAGCTGAACTTTATGAACGGCCAACAGGTGGGCACCATCTTTCCTGTGCTGATCCTTCCCCTCACACAGCTAAATCTGAATCTGCATTGACCTGGTGAACTCCACTTGCTCCACCCTAGTAAATCCTTAGGACCTGGGCCTTTTGCTGAGCTACCTCAAACTAGTACTAGTGGCAGCCAGCCTAGGTTCACAGTGTGGCCTCTCCAGGTCCAGCATAGGCAATGACCAATGGTGGAAAGCTTTGTAGCTTCTACCAGGTAGCTCCGGGCCAATCAAAGGCAGCGCTGAACTTGGCCTGCATGGGACCCTCTCCCAGGGGCCTCCAGAACCAACACACCCAAAGGTCAGCTTCAGACCACAACAAAGTACTGCCCGATTAGATTCAGAAGTGGCACAAAGGATGGTCTCAACAGACCAAAAGATGGTCTCAACAGACACACAGGCTTGCTGGAGTGAATCCCACTCAGTGGGGTCAGCCCCAATACAGCAGCTTACACACTGTGGACATGCTCACAACCAGTCAGCCTGGGAGTCAATCCCACCCACTGATGGGCCAACAACAATCAAAACTCAACTACAACAGAAGGGCACACACAAATCACATAAGGGACACTCCAGGAACACCTATGCAGGTGACGAGGGAGACTGTACCGCTGAACCACACAGGGCACCTACTATATAAGACCACCCAGCCAAGGCTGAGAGATGTAGAAAATGTACCTAATGCATAGAAACAAACACAGAGATACAGCCAAAATGAGGCAACAACACAAAAAATATGTCCCAAATGAAATAACTGGAGAAAACTAAAACAGAAAAAAAAAAAAAAACTAAATGAAACGGAGGCAAGAAACCTACCAGATACAGAGCACAAAATGCTGTTTATAAGGATGCTGAATGAACTTAAGGGAAGAATAGATGATCCCACCAAGAATAGATGATCTTACAAAGAAATAGTAAGCATCAAAAAGGATATAGAAACCATAAAAAAGAATGAGTCAGAAATAAAGACTACAGTAACTGAAATAAAGAATACAGTGGAAAGAATCAACAGCAGATTACATGAAGGAGAGATTCGAATCAGCAATTTGGAAGACAAGATAGCAGAAAACACCCAGACAGAACAGGAAAAAGAAAAAAGAATTTTTTAAAATGAAGATAGTTTAAGGGGCCTCTGGGACAACATCGAGCATACCAACATTTGCATCATAGGTACCAGAAGGAGAGCAAGGAATTTAAAACCTAATGGAAGAAATAATAATGGAAAATTTCTCTAACCTGGTGAAGGAAATAGACATACAAGCACAGGAAGTACAGAAAGTCCCAAATAAGATGAACCCAAACAGTCCCACAACAAGACATATTATAATTAAAGTGCCAAGGGTTAAAGAGAAAATCTTAAAAGCAGCAAGAGAAAGGCAGCTAGTTACTTGCAAGGGAGCTCTCATAAGACTGTCAGTTGATTTCTCAACAGAACCTTTGCAGGCCAGAGGGGTTGGCATGAAATATTCAAAGTGATGAAAAGCAGGGACCTACAATCAAAACTATTCTACTCAGCAAGGCTATCAATTAAAATTGAAGGTGAGATAAAAAGTTTCCCCAACAGGAAAAAGCTAAAGGAGTTCATCATCACCAAACCAGTATTACAAGAAATGTTAAAGGGACTTCTTTAAGAAGAAAAAAAAGAAAAAAAGATTAAAAATATGAATAATGAAATGGCAATAACCACATACCTAGCAACAATTACTTTAAATGTAAGTGGGTTAAATGCTCTAATCAAAAGATAGGGTGGCTGAATGGATAAGAAAACAAGACCCTAACATATGCTGCCTACAAGAGGCTCATTTCAGATCCAAACACACATACAGACTGAAAGTAAAGGGATGGAAAAGGATATTTCATGCATATGGAAACCAAAAAAAAAAAAGCTTGGGTAGCAATACTTATATCAGACAAAATAGACTTTAAAACAAAAACTATAGAAGAAACAAAGAAGGATGATTCATTATGACAAAGAGATTGATACAAGAAAATATAACCCCAGTAAATATTTATGCACTCAATATAGGAATGCCTAAATATATAAGCAAATATTGACTGACATAAAGGAAGAAATCAATAGTAATACAGTCATACTCAGGGACTTTAACACCCATTAACACCAATGGACAGATCTTCCAAACAGAAAGTCAACAAGGAAACAGTGGCCTTAAGTGACACACTAAACCAGGTGGATTTAATTGATATTTAGAGCATTTCACCCCAAAACAACAGAATATACATTCTTTTCAAGAGCACATTGAATATTTTCCAAGATAGACCACATGTTAGGCCACAAAACAAGTCTCAATAAATTTAAGAAGATTGAAATTATATCAAATATCTTCTCTAACCACAATGGCATGCAACTAGAAATCAATTTACAAGAAAAAAGTGAAAAACACACAAACACATGGAGGCTAAATAGCATGCTATTAAGCAACAAATGGGTTAACAATGATATCAAGAAAGAAATC